TTCTTTCCACCATCATCATCAACGGCCATGTTAGTACCACCACAACCGATAGTATATCCCTTGCCTAGGAATATCCTATACCAGTGAATCACTAGTCCAGTCCCTATACCTTATTCCTATATTTATATAGTGCTTCTCATGTAATATTTCATGTGATCTTCATAGGAAGACTTATTATTGACAATCTTCATCCTTGCAGGGAGCACTTACAGAACGGAAATTATGTGTCTTTGTAATATATGTGGGTAAGAAGAAGATTAGGTGATTAGTGCATCTAAAAGGTATTTCTATTTGGATGGTACCAGGCAGCTTTATCTGAGGAAGGCTTCGGTAATGCTTTGCTAAATTGGATAGTTGGCACCTCTACTTGTCAAATGCTATAATGTATTCATGTTCCTACTTTGACATTTTCTTCATGCCAGACTGTGCCAGATTTCATATTTACCTACTCATTATTGTTTTAAACCCTTGGTTTCATGTAGATTTTCAGGTTGGTCATGCATGAGATGATGCTAATGGTGAAGCAAAACAATATCATTTGCAAGAAACTCTGCTGGAAACTTAGCACTATCACTGCTCATTAATGCCACTACTGTATGTTTTATGGATATCTACTTTATCAGGTGACCCCTTTATGTAACAGCATGCTTGATGCTCTGGAAGAGACTCAAACCGATCATGGGAGTACAAGGTTTTGATGCCCATATAAAATCTTTTAATACATTTGTCATTTTCTCTAATGCATGGATTTACTAAAGCCTGAAGGGGCTTGCTATTTACAAAAGATGGAAGTTGGCATGAGCAGTCAGTAATAAAGTGATTTAACGTATGATGTATTTTATGAACTTCATTGTAAGTATAATTTTTTAAAGTCAGAAAGAAAACCCTGTAGTTCTATCCTGCATCTCTTTTAATCCATGAGAGTTAAAAAAAAATTAACTGACTTCATTGTATTTGCATAGTATATACTCTGTCCTATCTTTAGTATTTAAAACATTCAAGACTTATTGATTCTTTGGTGGTACCAATTAATTAGAATAGCATTAGCTTTTCCATTATAAACTTTGATTCCAAGGCTTCCATTATCTCCAGTTATTTGCCACAAAGTCTTTTTATTTTATAAGTAAGTATAGTTAAGGGGGAAATCATGTTTGGTGGATTTAAGCTATTGTTATATGTTTAATTTATTTCAGTGGGGAACAGTGTTTGCATGTGCTGGCTTGCCAGCAGGCTCTTTCATAATTCGGAATCCTTTCTATTCTCTCCTCCACAAAATATAATTATAGGAAGTCATACTTGGTGGAAGTACCAGCCCTTTTTTGGTATTTAAAAATGGTCCCAAAAGAAACTTGAAGCAGGAAATCATCCTTTTTAGCTGTGTGTGATGTTGACTCTTCATAATAGCTTGCCTACTGATATGGGTCATTGACTTTAGCAGGAGTAATAAGAAGCCATATTTGCACAGAGTGATATTAGTGGGTATAAAGAAAGGAGGGTTGGGGTCAACTCTAGTCCTAGTGGTTTTTGCCCATTATCTAGCCAGTTCTCAGGGGAACTAGTTATAGCAGTTAGAATTACTTCCAACAATTGCAGGCCCTAGGCCTTTGTAGGCACATTCCAGAAAGGCTTTTGGTAACTTCCTTTGGGAGGACATGAAGATGCTTTTTGTGTTCCCTGATTCCTCCCCAGGTAAAAGTAATCTCTTTCTTCCTCTCTTTTCCTCTCCTTTCTGCTCCCCTCTCATCTTCTGCCGGGCTTCTCCTCTCCCCTCTTTCCCCCTTCTTTCCAGGACTTTCTGCTTTCCTATTCTCCCTTACTCCCCTCTTTTCCCCTCGTTTTCCACTTCCTCTCTCCTTCCTTTCCTCTCCCCTCCTCTTGTCTTCTCTCTACTCCTCTCTTGTCTCTTCCTCTATCTTTTCTTTTTGCCCTTCTCCTCCTTTCCCTTCCCTGCCCCTCTCTCCTTCTCTGTCTCCCTCCTCCCATACCTTTCTGTCTCTCTCTGTGTCTGTCTGTTTCTTTCTCTTTCTTTCTCTGTCTCTGTCTCTCTCTCTGTATCTCTCTCTCTCTCTCTCTCTCTCTCTCTCTCTCTCTCTCTCTCTCTCTCACACACACACACACACACACACACACACACACACACACACACTTTATTAAGTTTTAAGCCCTTGGAGGGGAAGGGTTATCGTTTTCATCTTAGTGTCCCTAGCACTAGCCTAAAGCCCTGCACGTAGTAGTTACTTAAAAAGATCATGGAGTTTTCAGACTTGAAAGGAGAGCGTTATACTGTTTCAGAGTGGGAAGGGTAATCAGAGGTCATCCTACTCACATGAACTAGAGTCCACTCTATAACATACCCAATAAATAATTATATCATCTTCCCAATTGAGGAGAAACCCACTGCCATCCATTTTACTTTTGTATAGTTCCTTCTTTATATCAGACCTCAGTTTGCCTCTCTGACATGTCCACCAATGCGTCTAACCCTGTCTTATGGGCCCAACTAAAGAAATACTATGCTTGTTCCCAATGGCAACTCTTTATATACTTGAAAGCAACTATCATGAACCTCCTCTTGGGTTCGATGTCCCCATTTCTTTCAACATTTTTTGTAACACATGAACTCAAAGCCATATGAGTTTGATTCTTTTGGGTACTCTACGACTTACACCTCTGTCTTTCCTAAAAAGTAGTGTCCAGACATAATAATCCAGAGAAGAAAACTAGAAATCCTGTAGCCTTCTGTCCTTTTGAGAAAAGAGAATGATTTCACTTGTCTTTGCTCATCAGTTTCCTAAATGTGATAAGAGAATCACATCTGCTTCTTCCTACCCTTTACAGAATAGTTATAATTGTAGCTTGCAGACCATAAGCATGGGTCTGTTTGAGTTTGGTTTGTATAGTTAGTCCCTGGCCTATTTAGTACAATTTAGGTTGTGTTTCTGTGTGGGTGCAGTGGGAAATAAAATATATTTGGATGGTTCTGAGGAGGGGTGTGAAGGGACTGAGCTGCCAGATATAACTCTATCCATAGCACGAAGCATACAGCCTCAAAAGGTCTTCACAGGGTGGAAATAAATCCAATTGAGACTCTCAAGGACCTTTCCTCACTCAGGCAGTGGACCACAGAAGTATGCCCAGTCCATTTTTAGAACTCAAGGACAACCTGGGCATCTAACTGGATGTTAGGTCAGAGAAGGTCCTGGAGACCATGTCCCTCATATATTATCCTAAGAACCTGTAACAAATAAACACATGCATACAAGTATACTGGGTGGCTAGGTGCAGTGGATAGAGCACTAGACCTGGAGTCAGGAGGACCTGAATTCAAATCCGACCTCAGATACGTATTAGCTGTGTGACCGTGGGCAAGTCACTTCACCCTGTTTGCCTCAATTTTCTCATCTGTAAAGTGAGCTGGAGAAGGAAATGGCAAGCCACTCCAATATCTTTGCCAAGAAAAGTCCAAGTGGAGTCTGGAAAAGTAGGATACAACTAGTCAACTAACCAACAACAATAAATACATGTATACATAACATGCATACATGCATACACATACACAGATAAATAAAGTATTTTAATTGAGAAAGACATTCTAGAAGGTGTTATGATATATAATATTTTAGGGGAAAAAGCCAGATTATCATAGTACTATTATTGATTCTGGATGTTTACTTACCATTGATGTCTTTTCTAACTGATTATATTATTCTGTATTTGGAGAGCTTTTGAGCTCTTCACTCATTATCTTTAACCTATAAATATGTGACATGAGTATGTCTTGGTCTTAGGTTCCAGGCTGTAAAATACGCTGAATAGCTCTGAGGCTGCCTTCCTCACCAGATTGCCTTGAGGAAAGCACTTCTAAAATTGTGAAGGTCTACCTAAATACCAACAATCATCATTATTTTTGTTATAATGAATCAATGATATTTCATCAGTCCTGAGCTTCTCTGACAGGTTTTGACGCTGTCAACAACCATCCCCTTCATGGATTCAGTGAGCTTTAGTGATACTCCTTTCTCTTAGTTCTCTTCCTATTTCTTTGACTGTTTCTTCTTAATTTATTTTTCTGGGATTCTGTTTAGATCATGCCCTCTAGTCACAAGCATCACCCATGGCCCTGCCTTGGACCTGCTTCTATTTTCTCTCTACACCTTCTCTTGTATGTATCAGTAGCTCATGTAGGTTAAAGCAGAATCTCTATGCATTTCCCCAAATCTATATAAATATCTCTATGTCTCTTCTGCTACACCCTCTCTCCTCCAGTCTTCTTATACCTTATACTCCCTCCCATGTGCCTGGCCATCTAGTGACACTACTGTCCTTGCTATTTCTCAAACAAAACATTCCATCTCCCTATTCTTTCCCTCATGGCTCCCTGTCCCTACATCTCCCTATTCTGCTTTCCCTGGTTTTCTGTAAGTCCCTGCTAAAATTCCAGCTTCTTCAGGAAGCCTTTCCCAATTGCCCTTAATTCTAGCCTTTTCTCTTTGTTGATTATTTTCAATTTACCCTTTATATAGCTTGCATGTACATAGTTATTTTCATGTTATTTCCCCCCATTATATTGTGACCTCGTTGAGAGAAGGGACTGTCTTTTACCTTTCTTTGTACCCTCAGTACTTAGCACAGTGTCTAGAACACAGTAAGCCTTTAATAAATGTTTATCAATTAATAATGAGGTCAAGATGAATAAGGAGTGAGAAAAGGAGTTTAGATTTGCCAATCAATATAGCATTGACAGGTTTGGAGTGACAGTTAAGTTGAGTGATGAGGGCAGAATGTCTATTGAATTAAATTGGTATACCTTGTAGCTAATTCAAGCTTTCATGTAATTCTAGAGGGGCCTTCTGTAATGAACTATATTGAACTGTTTCACATTGAACAATTTTCAAACACAAAACCATTCTCCTTTATAACCAAGTGAAAATTTGGTTTGCACTCTAGTATTCACATGACTAATGCTCTTTCTGTTCTGATTTGCTTTTCATTTTCTACAGGAAGTGACAATAGTGATACCCTGCCTGAGTCCATTCCATCGGCACCTGGGACACTGCCTCATTTCATGCAGGAGCCTAATGATGCCTATATCATAAAGAGCAATCCAATTGCCCTGAGATGCAAAGCCATGCCCGCAATGCAGATTTTCTTCAAATGCAACGGGGAGTGGGTCCATCAAAATGAGCACGTATCTGAAGAAAGCATGGATGAGAGTACAGGTATGACTATGGACCAATGAAATGTACTAGCATAGATCTTTAACACAGGAAGTTAAATATATTTAGAGAAGAGTACTACCTCCATTAAGGTTCTCCTCCAATGCCTCATCATTTTTTAAGTTGGATCTTGGCTATTAAAGGCTATGCAGGCACAGTACACTCTCTGTACACAGTATACAGTAAGACCATACTGGAAAGACTTTCTGTCTGGGTCTGTGCTTCGCAAAGTTGGGCCAGCTTAGCCCAGTGAGAAAAGGCTAATCATTGGGAAGGTGGCTGTCAGAGATTTTTTTTTTTACCATAGCAACTCATGCAGACTGAGTACTGAAGTGGGGGATGTACTCAATCTGTGCTAGTAGATGGACTATCAATAGAAATGAAGTCACATATCTGACTAAATTCAATTCAACATATCTTTGTGAAGCATCTACTACAGAATACACTGTTATGCACAGGGGGAGGTATATAATTTAGGTGAGTGGTAGCCTCTGTCCTCATGGAGCTTTTAGTTACTTAGTAGAATAAGAAACAAATACAGAGTATTCTAAAAAACAAGTCTTTATGCGGTTTTAAACTACAAAAGCTCTAAGAATTTTGTGACATCCTGTATAGAAAACAGTAATACAGAATAATAAGTAACGTTGCATTTTTAAGTGGCACGAAAAAATTGCTTCATGAGGTCAAAGGTGGAAGAGCCATTACTATCTGGGAGGATCATCTGGAAAGGCTTCATGGAAGAAATAGGAGGATGTTATACAAATAGGGAGTAAGATGAATAAAAGTATGGTGATTGGTAGAACATAGGAGAATCACACTTTAATTGGATAGCTTCAATATGATATCTCAGGATTTTGTTTTATTTGCATTTATCTTATTATTAGTGATCCAAAGCAGTTTTCATATTATTTCACATGCCTGTGAAAGTGCATATGCATATTTTATGCCTTCATATGCATAACTGAAAAGACATTGTAATCTGTTGGATAAAATTGGCATCTAAGATAACAACAGGGGTTAGAAATGGGAAAATGGTAGAGCAATTAACAGAATCAAAAAGGGTAATAGGTTTAGAAAATAAAATAAGATCAGTTTTATATTATACTTAGTTTGAAGTGTCAGGACATATAGAATAATAGAAATTAGGCCTAATTGTTCATATTGTATGAGAATAGAAAGACACTAGAAGAATTATCTTTCCATCTCCTTGTATATAAACTAGTCCATCACTTATCTTATTTCAGATACATGAGAGTCAGTCCACACTTCCTCCAGTAATCTGTTGCAATATAGAATGAAGAGATTTTTTTCTTATATAGAACTTAAATTCCTAGTATTGTTTAAGTTATTTCATAATCTTAATGGGGATGGAGAATAGCTGGCTCTCTTTTCCCCTACCTTCTATAGCTTAATTCTAAATAATACACTGCTAAAACTCCTCTTTAAGGTGCCTTCTTCAGGCTGAACAATCCCAATTTCTTTATCCTCTCTTAATAAACCTTATCCTCTAACATTTTAATTCCTCTATCTTCCCTCATAGGAAGTTTTTTCCAAGGTCCCTACATCCTTTGCTAGTTACAGAGCCCAGCGTGGACTAGTTCTTTAGTTGGAGTCATGAAACAGTACTGAGGATTACCATCCTCAGTAGAGATGAGATGAATGGGAAAGCTGTTAACAATCATTTCCTATTTGAAATTTTTCCATTTTTGCAACAGAGGATCCCAATTCCTTTATTAATTACAGATATATAATTGTTGACATTTTTTCAAAGCATTACACACATGCCTCTTAGATTTTCTGGGTGCCCCATGCCTCTAAAATGATTTCAAACTGCAGTAATCTGTGTCAGAAACAGTACATATCATTATACTTTAAGCACTTCTAAACTCATCTCTGAGCTTTCTTGGAATTCTAATCTAGTCACTCTGGGTGGACTTTGATAGGCAAGCTAAAAGGCATGTAGAGTTTGTTGGGGGTTTTGTGTTTTTGTTTTTGTTTTTTCTCCCTGGACACTGGGCAAAGAGAAGGAAACAGTGCATTATATAGTATAAAGAGAGGTGGACTAGAAGTTAAGATCTCAGTGTAATTCTGACTCTGCAAATGTATACCATCACAACCATGAAAATATCATTTAACTTTCTGCCTGATGTTACCTCATCTATACAGTTAAGTGATTTAACTAAACCAGGGGTGTCTGATAGAAATGCGGGGGCAAGTGGTGGCACTGACTAAACCATACATAAGTGTCCCAAAATGTTGCATGTTGACTTAGTTTTAAAATGCAATGTTATCTATATTTTATTTATTGTATTTTTTTGTTTTGATTTGTTAAATATTTTCCAATTATGTTTTAATCTGGCTTGGGCCATACTGGGAAGTGTTGTGGGCTACATACAACCCATGTCTATGTGTTTGACAACACTGAACTAGACCATTTCTAAAATCCCCTCCATTTTTTAACAATCTTATGATTATTGGATAAACTGGGGCCCTTCGTGGTTCATCTAATGAGAGCTGATAAGAATTTATCTGCCAACATTCTTAAATACCTAGTAAATGGGTCTTTAGAGAGAATGAGAAAGGGAGAAATGTATGAATCTCTCCAAAGTAGATGACATGCTAATAGCTATAAAATTAAAGAAAGATGTAGAGGAGACTCTCAAATTTAATAGTAGACAAAACACAAGAAAGGATCCAGTAACAAAATCCCTGACTTAAAATGTCTACACAAAAATGACCAAGAGTTAGGCAATGAGCAAAGCAAGCAATAGGTCAATAAAAGATGGAAAATTTCACTTCAAAAATAACATTGAGACTATATGAGATAAAACCCATGGCTAAAATGTGTCTCTGAATGAGTGTATTTTATTGAAAAGAAACAGGATAGGCAAAAGGAGATGACATTGTATATGTAGATAGATATAGATATAGATATTATAGATATAGATATAGATATAGATATAGATATAGATATAGATATAGATATAGATATAGATATAGATATAGATATAGATATAGATATAGATATAGATGATATACTGGAAATAAAAAACCCAGAAAAATGAAGCACAGTGGAGAATATTTGGATAAGGGAAATTGTGGGAGAAACAAAATTGATTTTGTCATTGGTATATACTATAGACCAGAGATGTCAAATGCACAACCAGGCTACCTGCAGCTTGCAACTCTTCCAAGTGTGATTCAATTTTAATTGGGAAATATTTAACAAAATGAAAAAAATACAATAAAAGACAATATTTATATATCATTTAAGTCAATATAATGCCAGCAGGGATGCTTATGTATGGTTTAGTGGCCCCATGTTTCTATTTGAGTTTGATACCGCTGCTATAATCCACATGGACAGAAAGTAGAAATAGATGAGTAGTTTGGAAAATAGATCCCAAGCCTGGAAATTAAGTAGAGTATTTAAATTCAGACATTTATTAGACCTGTGTCTATGGCAAAAACAAAGCAGTTAGCATCTACTTAACTTTCCTTGCTAAAAGTTTCATCCTTTAAAAGTTGGAGCAACCAATAGGATGAAATTCTGTTCTGGAAATAATTCTTACTACTCGGATGAACTGGTTGCCAGGATTAAAATTCTGGAAACACTATGGGCAAAAAAATCAGAATGTTTAATAAAGAAGGAGAGGAAATCTGGGCTTAGCCTGATTTGCAGTGCAGATTTTGGTAAAGTAGGTTTTAAAAGATTGAGAATAAAGGATAAATAGAGTTTCATAGACCACAATTCTACAGGGTAAGTCTACCTAGGAGGAATGGGAGATACTCTCAAGAATGATATTCTGAAAATACAGAAAGAAAAATTATCCCATTGAAGAGATAAAAATAGAGTTACCTGAAGAAACTAATGTGAATGCACAGGAAACTCAACAAATTAAACTTTAGTAAAAAAAAAATGTACAGCAGCTAGAAGCAAGACTAGGTAACAGAGGAAAGAAAAGAAAGTATTTATCAGGTACCTACTATGTGCTAGATGCTGAGCTTTACAAACATCTCATTTGGTCCTCACAACATCCTGTCCCATGAGGTAGCTATTATTATTATCCTTAGTTTACTGTTGAGGAAAATGAGGCAAAGATTAAGTGACTTGCCCCAGGTCACACAGCTAGTAAGTGTCTGAGGCCAAATTTGAATTCAGGTCTTCCTGATTCACACTAACTGTGTGACCCTGGGAAAACCACTTAATCCTGTGTGCCTCAGTTTCCTCATCTGTAAAATGAGTTAGAGAAGGAAATAACAAACCACTTTATTAACTTTGCCAAGAAAACCAGATGGGCTCATGAAGAGTGGTACAGGACTGAAACAATTGATCAGCAACAACTCCCCGATTCCAGGCCCCACTGCTCCATCGCCTTGCTGCCTCTACAGAGGATCAGTAGAAGTCAGTCTCACCAAATAGTTTCAGGAGTTCTGATAGTCTGAGCGAGGTAAGACCAGTGACAGAAGTGAAAGAAGACAGGCAAGCAAAAAGATGTTCGTGTTTTTCCATTTTGTTTCATTTTAAGGTATATGAAGAAAAAATGGAAGATCTGCTTTTAGGTGGAATGGGCTATAATAAATAATAACAGGGAGGAGGCAGCTATGCTCAATTTTTATTTTGATTCTGTTTTCTCTGCCAATGAGAATGGCCTTTGCAGTAGAAATGACAAAAACACAGCTCCCAGGGAGGAGATGCCAAATATAAGTAAGGAGATGGTAAGAGAGCCCCTTGCTGGCATTGAAGAATTCAAGTCACCTGGCCCAGATGAACTATATCTTCCCATACTGAAAGAACTGCTAGACACTGGTATTGAGCCAGTGGAAAAGCTATCACAAGATTGGAGGAGAACAAAGTTTGTAATGATTTTCAAAATAAAAGGGGGGGGGGTGAGAGGAAGAATAGTTATCAAAAGAGAGACCAATGAACTGTCTTTTGATTACTAGGAAAACTAAAATAGATTATTATAGAAGGAGATGGTAAATATCTGAAAGGGAAACAG